TCACTAATAGTCACAGCATACATGGCAGCAAGAATAGCATCAAAGTCAAGGTCAAAGACAGCTACACCCGCCCTAGACAGCTCGCCCCAGCGGGGGATCTCAGTGGCCTCAGGGAACTGGTGACACCAAGCGTCCGTCAGGCGGCCAAAGCAGCGCTGGGTGGAGTGCGCACCCCCGCACTGCTCACCCGCGCGGTCGCCGGTGCGTAGGACGTAGGTGCACGGACCAGTACCCCCACCCCGCTGGCGTGCAGCGTACCACTCACGGAGCTGCTGAGGGGGGGGGATGTCACGAGTGCGCTGCTGCCGCTGCTGCTGCTGCTGCTGGCGCTGACCACCACCGGAGCCGACCCTCTGCGCAGCGCCACCCCGACCAGCTCCACCTCCTCCGCCGCCGCCTCCTCCACCGCCGCCACCTCCGCCACCTCCGCTCCCACCGCCACCGCCGCCGCCGCCTCCGCCTCCACTGCCGCCACCGACACCTCCACCCCCGCCACCACTCCCACCACCACCCCCACCCCCTCCACTGCCTCCACCGCCACCTCCGCCACCCCCGCCAACCCCTCCAGCACCCTTGCCCCCCTTGCCCTTGCCGGTGCGGCGTCTCCCGCTCAGGGCAGACGCAGCGCCGACCGACTCGAAACCAACGAGGTCGGCCGCAGCAGCAGAGGCAACAGAGGGCAAAAGGGGGGAGGGGGAACACCCCTCAAAGACGGGGGTGCGAGGGTCACCACGAGAGGCTCCTACAGCGACTATGCTCTTCTCTGCTACTAGGAGGGCCTTCTCGAGGAGGTCAACGGTGAGAGTGGTGGGGCAAACTGAGAGGAAGTGGTCCCTGACTACGCGAAGGGAGTCAGGGAGCCGGGTGACTATGTAGTAGAGGGTGATGTACATGGGGGGGGGGTTCTTGGCGCAGAAGTCAGCAGGAAGCGCAGCGCGGTAGCGAGTGTCACTAGTGCGGAGGTGCGTAATGAGGTCAGCGACTGTAGGAAAGGCAGCAAGGTCAGGGAAGAGGTACGGTAGCATGAGGCGGCTCAGTGCAGCAGTGGCAGGGGAGGAGTAGCGCGCAACTACAGCGTCGTACAAGGTGTGAGCACTCTTGTACTGGCTAAAGTGCGCACGCTCAGAGGTAGGCAGGTGGCGACGCACAGCAAGACGTGCAGCAGCATCGCGTGTGGCCCACTGTGAGCGAACAGCGGCATCAGCAGCAGGGGCAGGAGAGGCACCAGAGGTGAGGTCAAAGAGGGAGAGACCGTCTGCCCTATCGCACTGTAGGAAAAGCTGCAGGTCATCTACCCAGACGTCAAAGTCAATGGCCCGACCCTCAGCGTCAAAATCGGATCTTCGCTTCGTCCGACTCGACGTAATTCGCGTCGAAGAAGACGTTCATCGTGAAGACCCACGATTGAACCGTCGGTCCTCCACGCTGGCTCGAGTCGAAGCAGGGCGGGCGTTGCGGCTTGAGTGGCATTGGTGCCATAATGGCCTGTTCGCCAGTTGTCGCCGCGAACTCCACGTGCCGACGGGCTTCACGAGGCTCCCGCGGGCTTGGTGCGACCCTGTTTCCTCCCATGCCAGGCATCGGCTGGGCGGCGCCATCACTGGCTGCACCTGAGCGCTGTCCCACGCTGTCGTGTTGTGTTGGTGTGCCGGACGAAATGACGATCGGCTCGTCCGATTGTGCAGATGCATTTGTCGGTGCGTGTGGTGGCGCTGGAGTATTCACCGTGGATTGCTGACGCGCGGAGTCACGTTTCGCCGTGAGCGTCGCAATTTCGAGCGCCGATTCTTCAACTTGGCGCACCAGACGGTCAAGCTGCTCCTGCGTCAACGTCGCGAGCGTGAATTCGGCCATGGCGGGGGTGTCGGGCAAGCTCAGCGAGAGCCTCTGTCGTGGCCGTGCGTGCTTACGAGAGAGCACTACGAGCGATGGTGCTGTGTCGCTGAGAGACGTCTACCCCCCCCAAAAATTGAGATAGTGAGGAAGCGAAGGTGTGGGTGCGGTCCGAGAAGAGATCGTAGGCTCTGAATATCAAGTGTTACGAGTGCAATTGAGTGAGCGAGCGAGAATTGCACTATCGAAGCAAGAGTACAATGAGCGAAGGCATGAGCGAAGAATATATAGCGAAACTACAGTGGTAACGGTAATGGACTGTGGTTCTCGCGCGTCGGGCCTGGGACTGAGGTTGGGGAAATGTCGAAGCGGAGGCCCGGAGCGCGGGTTACCCTGCCGAGCCGTGAGGTCGGGGTGCGACGTGCGAAGGTGGCGGGAGGATTGTCGATGCGAGCGTTGCGAATGGTAACGGTGCTGACTGTGGTGCTACAGTGGTGTACGCGCTGAGTGGGGACGCGAAGTAAGGAAAAGGAATTTTCCTTACATTACCGTACGTAGGAAGTATGATCTCCAAAAACATATGAGAAGAAGAAAGGGCTAGGAAGAGAAGGGAAGAGAAAGAACTGAGTAGAAGGGGTACAGTGTACAGTGTACCGTGACAGTTTCACTTCTTCCAATCAGCAGCTAGCGGTCAGTCACTGTAGTCCTCCACAGGTCCAGCGAACTGGACAGGGGTCCCCACCCCACCCATTCCCTCTATCTCCGTGCGTGAAGTGTTTGGCATGGCATTTCCGATCGAACCCTGAAGAAGCTGTATATCTCCCGTCCCGAGCCGACGCTAGTGAATGCTTCCAGAATGCTGACTCCATTTACTACGCATGGTACATCGTCTTTGCATGTTCGGTTGAGACACTTTGGTGCTTAGTTCAGTTCGAAACAACCACGTTCAGGCTGCCCAAGATGGGAAACAGAGTGTCTCACTGCATAACGAGACAAACCACTCCATTCATCCAGATGCACCCTTGGTGGCTATTCGACTTCACCAGCTGCCAGATGAATAGCCTATGAACTGCCACGTCGCCCTCAAAAGGATGAGATTGTACAGTGCTCGTTTGTTTTGCATCTTCAATGTGTGGGACGCGGCATGGGAGGGGATGTACCATCTTCTGTGCGGCAGGTCTTGGATCCCATACACATACTCAGGTCTTGAGGCGTCATCCATAACCCTAAACCCTATTTAATTAATCACAAAGTGGCTATTTCCCGCCAAGATGTATGGCCAATGAATCACTAAGTGGCGCAGTGCCTATTCATCACCTAGCCCGCGCCAATTTCACACCCCGTCAGTTTTGGGTTAAAGCCCATTTGAACTTTTTTTGGCTTTGGGGATCAGACACCCAAGGAACTAGAGGCTATCCGTTGGCCATTGTAAAGTGTCGATGTTGTGAAAGTGTGACTTTGTGACCGCAACGAAAAGACTGAATCTTCCGCTGCGACCATGTTTTTCTTTTCCCGCTGACTCTTAAGCGGAGTCTGAATCGTTCATTACTTAAAGCCAAACGTTTGGGAACAACCCTCAATGTCCGGGGAAATCAGGAACGAATACACAGGGGTGTGAAATTGGAGGGTGTGAAAATAACGCGGACCAATCCAGCAGATAATGTAACCGACAGTTGTGGGCAGGTATAGAAACTAACAACTGTAGATCACGTTGGATGCTTGTTCTGTATGAGCATGAGATCACGCATGAAGCATGAGATTGCCCTAACCTACAAGAGGCGGGTTCGCTGCCATCTGCCAGCCACTCTTCTAGGACCTTGAAGTTGTTGGCGTGACGTGACGACGACGATAACTCCTGGATATTCAGAGTTTGCAAACAACCTGTTCTGCCCGGAAACGACAATTGTGGGAGGGTTCCCGCCAGGTGTGCTGCTGCCAAAGTTGGCGTTAAAGCCGCGGTGCAACTTCTTAGAAACAGTAGCAGGACAAAACTCGCATGTGAGTAACTGGACTTCTATTGGTCGAAAACACTCGAGTTTCACAACAGGACAAACCTCTCGCCTGTGAACTGCCTGGGTCAACCTCTTCCAAGCTATAATACTTTGAAGTTGAAGCTGATAGTTGCACCGCGGCTTTAACGATCGCTATAAAAAAATGCAAGCAGCCAATATGCAGGTGTGCAAAGGGTTTGTAGTGATTGTACCCTGTAAAAAAGGTCAATACGGCTAGACAGCCATCCCCACTATCGCTTAGACCACCACGCCGCAAGCTTGCACTTGGTGCCTCAGCTACAAGCAGTTGGCACAATGTTCGAGCAATGCAATCTGGATCGTATTTCGGGGTAGCCCCGCCTCTCACTGTAGGTGCTGCTAGCGATACCAAAACCGTTCTATGGAGGCGCAGCGAGGCTTCAAGTCAAAACCGCGAGGAGTGTTTATCCGGCCGCTTCAGATCAAACACACCAAGTAGTTTCTCCGATCACTCAGTGTTGCGTACCACAAAGTACTCGCAAAGGTTCATTCTGAGCTAGAATCGCCGCATTGACTTTCTCACGCGGCAAGCCAAAGCTCCGTACCCTTGACTCCTAGTTATTAATCCGTAAGACCTCGTCCGATGGAGTCCATGGCTTCGTCACGTGCCGCTGGTGCAGATTTGTCGCATTTTGACTCCGCATTGTTAGCCCGCCTTTTATGCCGAAATCCTCTCCGCGACTGCCGCAGAAGCGGCATCTGCGGCAGCGGCGACGACCATCTTACGGACAACGTAACCCTGGCGAGTATCTCGTCCAACAACACAAACCCCATCGCCCGCGGCGGCTCAGAAGGTGGCGGCGAACGTGGCGCATTTGCCGGCAGCCCAGCTAGCAAAGAGGAAAAGGCGGAGTCGTATCAGTGGAAAAAATACGGGCATAAATTCCTGTCTTCTCAGAATGCGAAAAGGTATGCTAGAATCGTGATTGTTTTCATTTATAATTATTTTGCAGTTTTTTCTACGCTTTGCGCGACTGTAACCATGCAGTTCCCAATTTGTTTTTGCATCTTGTAATTTTAACGAAGCACTTCAATTCGGAAGCACGATTCCATCCCCTTATTCGAGTCACACCTCCGCGTCCTCCTGTTGCCCTTATCTCATTCTTCCGCCCTAATCTCATCTTCGTATCGTCGCAGGTTCTACTATCACTGCGCGGAGCGCGACACCACCGGCTGTCCCGCGAAGCTCATAATCGACAAGGTCCCGAAGAAGAAAAGCAAGAACGGCCGACGTTCGGGACTTCAAGACTTGGTGGCGCGGGAAGTTCCAGAAGGATCCGCCGCGCGACGGCCGCCGATTAATGGAGCCGTCGTTGGGGCCGATCGTGAGTCCGGCTCGCCGCGAGCCGCGGTCGCTGATGGGGGGGAGAAGGAGGAAGAGGAAGACGATTCCAGTTTCGGATGGGAGGAGAATCGCGAGATTCTCGACGCGCTTCCCGTGCTCGAGCGGCGCGTGGATCGCACGCTCACCCCGCGCCGCTTCTGGTGCCGCAACCGGCACAACCACCTTCCGCCGCCGCAGCAGCCGCTCCACATGGTTGTCTCCGCCGCCGCCGTCGCGCAGCCCCGCATGTACGTCACGGCGGCGAGCGCGGGCGCGGCTATTGCTACCGCCGCCGCCACGGTGCTTCCGCCGGCGCCGGCGGGTATCATGACCTTTCCGCCCGCTGCGGCGCTTACCCCGACGGTCGCGCGGACGGCCTCGTCCACCAGCGGCGCCGCTTCCGCCGCTGAAACTCCGCGCCGCCCGTTGACCCCGAATCTGGCGGACTGGCCGTTTCCGCCCAAGTCACGCAGCCAACCGATGGCGGGTGGAGAGGAGCGCGGATCTCCGCCATGCGCGCAGCCGAGTCGGAAACGGCCACGGAGCCCGGCGCGTGCGGCGGACGATCATCACAAGATCAGTACTACGGACGCCGCCGCCGGCACGGGGTGGGATCACGGCAGCGCCATGATGACCCGCCGCCACCGGCGGAGCGGCAATGATTATCAAGTGTTGTCTGTCAAACGCGGCGATCCCGCGTTGCTCTTTGTCCCGCCGCCGCCCGTCGCGCCCGCTCCGCCCATCGTCCAATATTTATTCCCGCACGTGGGCGCATTCAGTGCGACGTCGACCCTTGAAGCCCCTCTACTCTCCGCGGTCCTGGAGTCGCTTTGTCCGACCGCCGCTACCGCCGCTACGACTGCTACTACAGCTGCCGCTGCTGCCGCCGCCGCTGCTGGCGCTCCCGCTGACCCTCGCGCAGCGTCTCAAAACCCTCATACAGCCGCAGCAGCGCGCGGCGCCGGCGCCACGGCAGCGGGCGTGCGTCGAAGCGCGAGCGGGTTCGAAAGGGGGCTGCTGAGGGGAATCGCGGGCGCGCAGAGTCCCGTCGACCTAACTCCACTCGTATTCCCCCGCGCCGCCCACGTCTCCCCCGCGCGCGGAGACCCCGCTGACGCCACCCGCGCGCCTGCGGACGCGAGCGCGGCCACGGCGCTGGCGGAGGGATTCGACGGGGGTGGTGCGGCGTGTGGGAAGGCGGATGAGGGTTTTGACACGCTGTGGTCTTACGTGGAGGCGAATCTGCTACAGCGCGTGGCGTCGCAAGCAGCAGCAGCAGCAGCAGCAACCGCTGCTGCCCCGCACTGGGTCGCATCACAATCAGCAGCAGCAACAGCAACAGCTGCTGCATATAAAGAGGCTGCTGGGCCGCACAGGCTGGCGGCAGATCATGATGAGGGCAATGCCGTTCAACACAGGCTGGCAGTGAGTCTGCCACGTGGACTGCCAGGATTGGGCGATGCGCAGCGAGAGGCGGTGCGGCAACAGCGGGCGGAGGAGGGTGCTGCCCATGCTGGAACGAGCTGCACTGCTCTGCCCCCTCTCTCGTCCTCCTTCCCTGCTGCTTCCACTTCTGCTGCTGCTGCTGCCGCCTCTGCTCCTGCTGCCTCTGCTCCTGCTGCCTCTGCTCCTGCTGTCTCTGCTCCTGCTGCCTCTGCTGCTGCTGCTGCTGCTGCCGCCGCTGTTGGTGGTGGTGTCACCACGGGCGTGGCGAGCAGAAGATTCGAGGAGCTTCAAGCGCTTTACCTTCAAGGGCTGCTGAGCGGTCAGGGTCTGGTGGGGAGCGGTGGTGAGGGGTTAGTGGGGATGGAAAGGCTCTCAACAGAGAAGAAGATGAGTGCGCTTGCTGGGAAAGGAGTGGGTGAGGTGGAAGGGAGGACGTTGTGTGTGGATGAGGGGAAACCGGGGTTGAGGGATGCAGGAGGAAGAGGGGGAGATGGAGGGATGGTGGTGCCACGTGTGGCAGTGGAGATGGATTTGATTGGTCAGCTTGGTGATGGGACAGCTGTCGGCAGGCAAGCGGCAGGCAGTGGTGCTCCTCAGGTGCTTTCAACAGACCTGTGTCTCTGATGCTCAGGTGCTTGCAACAGAGCTGTATGCTCAGGTGCCTGAAAGCATCATTCGATGCATCTGTGCTTCGGCCAGCTCAACGCATCATGGGACCCCAAGTGAAACTAACAGGCTGCTTCAACCCAGGAGTGAGCTCCAACAAGCACCATGCGACAGCCCAATTTTAGCCAGCACCCCTAGATGTGCGAGGTCTTCTATACCGGTAGTACTAGTATACGTATAGTGGTCCAGGCATGCATGCATACATGGTGCCCTTCTCAAGCTAGGCATATCCATGATTTTTTGGATTGTAAGATGCTCTTATAATACACACAACTACTGTACCAGAACACTGCTTGTTTATCTGGCTTGTCAAATGGACCATTGTATTCAGCTCAGAATGTGGCACGCTTCTAGTCATGAATGCAAGCTGCAAACAGGTCCTTTGAAACTCATGAGTCACGGCTTGGTTTCGCGGAAGTTCTTTGGAGAAGGGATGACCAGTGACCACCCTTCAGGGCCTACCACAGAGCTGTTGGGGGCGCCTCAAAGACCATCTCGTGTTGTTGTGAGGCTTCTATGAGGCATGACGTAGTCATATTGGAGCGTAGTTTGTCGGGCCAGAGCTACGGTAGCTGTCGATGTGAGGCGTGTTGTTGTGAGGCTTCTGTGAGGCATGACGTAGTCAGAGGTCGCTGTTGATGTGAGGCGTGTTGACGTGAGCTTAGAGAGTGGTTTGTCTGACCAGAGCGCAGAAGCCGTAGCAGAGCTGTGAGCAGCTGCGAGGGAGCGAGAGACGGAAGGGAGTGAGAGACGGAGAGAGAGAGAGATGGAGCGATGCGAACACTCAAAGAGCAGCGATTGAGCGGCAAATGAGCAGCAAATGAGCGGCAAATGAGCAGCAAATGAGCGGCAAATGAGCGGCAAATGAGCGGCAAATGAGAAGAGCTGCTGTTCGCACACTTACTCCATGTCTGAAGGTAGATCGAAGGTGGCATTGGGGAAGTGGTGTGGCTTCTCAAACGAGGCATGAGAGAAGGTCATTTGCTCCACGGGCTCCTGAAAGGGTGTGGTGTGAGTGCGATAATGGGTGTGGGATGGGGTGAGGGATGGGGTGAGGGATGGGGTGAGGGATGGGGTGAGGGATGTGGTGAGGGATGGGGTGAGGTGAGGTGAGGGACGAGGTGTGGGATGGGGCGAGGGATGGGGCGAAGGATGGGGCGAAGGATGGGGCGAGGGCTGGAAGGAATGGCATGGAACTGGAAGAGAATAAGACATGAAGCATCAAAGTCCGCATTTAGTAGCCACCTACCATCCTCTCTCACACACTTAAGAGAATGCTGTCATTGATGCCTTACCATGTAAATTCGCATGGGCACATCGTCCTCTGAGTGCCAGTAGTAACGTTTGAGAACTCTCAAAAGTTACAGGCATTTCTGTTGATGCCTTACCATGTAAATTCGCATGGGAACATCCTCCTCTGAATGCCAGTAGTAGTTGTTCTGTAACCCCTGCTGCTTCCTGCTTGCTCGCACGAAATGTTAGATGGCAGCACATCCAGAAAAACCACACTGGACCGGATTTTTTAGGCGCCTCGAAAATCGTCTCAGCAGCACAGTCAGATGGAAACACACCGGACCGGAAATGATTGGCACACGCAACGACAAACAAAGGGGTGAAGAGATAGGATGAAGCCACAGTGATTGCACAAGTTAAAGTGAATCAAAGAAACAGGGGGTCAAGGAGACAACAGGCCGCAGATTCTTTGTTTACTTGTTTGTTTGTTTGTTTGTTTGTTTGCTTTGCCTGTACTGAATAGCAGGCAGCGGCCAGCAGCCAATAGGCATCACCCCTCATCACCTCTCACCACCCCCCATCAAAGCTCATCACACCTCATCACCTCTCACCACCCCCAACAACGCTCATCACACCTCATCACCCCTCACCATTTGGTGGAAGACACGTCGTCCACGTAGTCCCGACCCATATAGGTGGCATTGGCCAGCCAATCAGGGCGCACCACGTCACACCCATTGGCCGCAGAGCAGCAGCGGCAGCAGTACTGCTTGTAAGGGGACGGGGAGGAGGATGGAGAGAGCAAAAAATGCAGAGAAAAGATTGTAGAGGGAGGAGTCTTTGGTTGTGGCTGCCTCACGTCACACCCATTGGCCGCAGAGCAGCAGCGGCAGCAGTACTGCGTGCAGGCAACAGGGGAGGAGGGTGGAGGGGGGGGAGGATGGAGAGAGAAGATGGTGGAGAGGGGATGGTAGACGGATGAGTCCGTCAAAGCAAGGAAAAACCATCACTATATCATTCTCAAATGCGCCTATGACGGGAAGCTTCCTCACCTTTTCCTGCGGGCAGATGAGATAGCGCCACGAGTCCCGCACCAGCTGGGTGCATGGGGTGGCCCTCAGAGGCACCTTTGTGAATTCTAAGAGGAGACGGGGAGATACATTGGAGTCACTTTGAGAACTCCGAAAAACGACGAATGGTTGTGTCACCTTGGCCTGGGGGAAGACGAGGTAGCGCCACGAGTCCCGCACCAGCTGGGTGCATGAGGTGGCCCTCAGAGGCAGCGCGGAGCTGCACGCGGGAGAGAGAGTGGGAACAAAGAGGAGGGGGAGAGGGTGCGTTGATTAAAGAGAGGAGGACCAGGTGGACGCAAGGGTTGGTTGGACCTCAGAGGCAGCGCGGCGCTGCACTCATACCGGTGCAAAATAGTTTTGAGACGTCTCAAAACTAGCGGAGCTGCACTCATACCGGTGCAAATTGAGGGGGGCGCAGATGGGGCAAGAGAGAGTGGTTGAGAGGACGCGTATGGGGCAGGGCACGACCAGGTGGACGCATGGGGTGCTCCTCGGGGTAGGGCGGATGATGGGGAGAAATAATGATGGGGAAAGAGAAGAAGATGAGCACAAAGAACCACATGTGGCCGCTCACCCGCAGTATCGATCCCCACCCCACACCCTTCATTCTTCAGCAGGGGCTGAAGATTTGCCTCATTCTGAAGCACCCAAAGAATCGCAAGCGCTCACTCACCCGCAGTATCGATCCCCCAGCCCGTTCCGGCGGTCGATGCGCTGCCTGCGCGTGATGTAGTCGTACCACCAGGTGCCTTCCGTTGTCAGGGTGTACCAGGGGAGGTACATCTCCTGTGGACAGGGTGAATATGGGGAGATACATTTCCTGGAGTGAGCAGGGGAGTGAACGAGGGGAGGCACATCTCATGGGGTGAACAAAAGCAGGTACATATTTTGGAGAGAACAAGCGGAGGTACATCTGTTATGACTAGTAAGGAGGAGGAAAGGGTCCCGTTCACGAGAATCTTTCTCACCTCGTAAAAGTCAACTTGGAATCTTGACGGCCAGACAGGGGCACGGGGGGCTTCCGCTATAGTGTCACTCTCTAAGCCTGCGCTTACTCCACCATCGACAGAAGAACCCTTCGCTATAGTCACTTGCTCATGAACCCCAAGGCTCTTGGAATTAAGGCCTTCTTCTGACGTCATGAGCAGCTGGCTGGTGGCAGGTACGCGCGCCGCGCTCGCGGAAAGCGAATGCGACAGCAACGAATAAAGGGTGTAGAGGAGAGACGCAAATGCTACAGCGGGAACTGAGAGCGTGAGGCGGGACGAGGAAATTCGGCAACGCGTCGCCATCCTTGCAGTTTACAATAAGCGAAAACTACCTCAGCCGACAGTCTACCACCACAACTTAATTCCGACGACAGTCTACCACCACAACTTAATTCCGACGAGAGTCTACCACAACAACTTAATTCCGACGACAGTCTACCACAACAACTTAATTCCGACGACAGTCTACCACGAAGCGACAACCTACAGATTTGGTGAAAGAGGAGTGAATGAACTGCGTTGTGGCAAACCTCGGAATCTCCGCAGAATTGAACAAATTCTCGACTGAATTTACAAGCGCTCGGCTCGACATTAGCAGTCTCGTTAACGACGGTATACACTCAACTTAAGTTTTTCTCAGCTAGAATCGGTCCGGTGTTGACAAAATGCCACAAAATCACTCATTCTGGTGTGCCACCAGTTTGCTAGGACGAGTCTCCATGTTCCTCTAAACAGCTCTTGCATCTAAGGAGATTTCTCATAAAAACATTCAGCAGCAGGGCATCTGTGCCATGTGCAACTGTTGCACCACCTCACGCACGCTAACCAGCAATTCACTCCACTGACTCCAATACAGAGGTTACACAGGCCTTTCAAGCTCTGCTGCATCTCACAAAACCGTTTCCACATGTTCTAGTAATTTCGCCCCTTCAATTCTCCTCACTCCGCCGCCTTCTTTTTCTTCTTGGACGATCCACTCGCACCCGGCGTCGCCCCATCCTCCTCCTTGGCCTTCTTTTTCTTCTTGGCCGAACCATCGGTAACCCCAGGTGTTACACTCGCATCCGCTGCCGCGTCCTTCTTTTTCTTCTTCTTCTCAGAAGCGGGGGTCACCGGCGCTGCTGCTTCCTCCTTCGCCTTGCCCTCCTCCTCCCTGTCACGCTTTTTCTTCTTTTTCTTCTGAGGGAAGGCAGAAGGAAGGGGGGGAGAACCATGCACCAAGGACAAGCGGAAATGTTGAACGACATGTGGTTTGAAGGGCATGCGAGAGCGTGCAGGACAAGCACCAGGTAGAAAAAGCTCTGCCTTTCTTCAACAATTAAACAGACCAAACCAAACCTGCTTTGTCAGGGGATTATGCACAATACAAACCCAACTGAGGGCAACAGCAGCACACCCTCACCACCCGAGGCTCTTTCCCCAACCACAACGCACCTCAGTAGAAGGCGGCTCTGCCCCATCGGCATCAACACGGGCAGCAGCAGAGGGAGTGGCCTCGCCGTTCTCCTTGTCCTCCTTTGCTTTCTTGTCCTTCTTCACCTTCTTGCCCAACAAAGTTTTCACCTAACCACTACGCACCTCAGTGGAAGGAGGCTCTGCCCCGTCAGCATCCACACGGGCAGCAGCAGAGGGAGTGGCCTCGCCGTTCTCCTTGTCCTTCTTGGCCTTCTTCTCCTTCTTCGCCTTCTTGCCCGATTCCTCTCCGGCTGCTGCTGCGTCTGTCGCTGGGGACTTGGCTGTCAACAGGGCGTCAGACGCGGGGTTGTATGCCTGCATGGAGGGAGAGAGAGGGGGAGGGAGGGAGACCGGGAGGGAGGTAGGGAGAGAGTGAGTGAGATGAAGCGGGCACTATTCACTCACTTCTGAGCACTCGCACTGCGCTTTAGTGATTCTTATAACACACTTTGATGACATGACATAATTACCTTGGCAGGGGTGATCAAGCCGCCCGTGCCCCCTTCCTGTCCTTGTCGTATGGACCCAGCTTCGCCTTGCCCTTGCTCGCCGCATCGGCACTGTGCTTTTCTAAATTCTCTAAGACATCCCCCCTAAAATAAATACCTTAGCAGGGGTGATCAAGCCGCCCGTGCCCTCCTTCCTGTCCTTGTCGTACGGACCCAGCTTCCCCTTGCCCTTACTCGCTGCACTCGCACTGCCCAGCACCCGCCCCTCCAGCTGTCGCAGCCGCTGCTCTATCTGTTTGTCAATCACACGCAAAAGGGGGAGAAACACACAGAGGAGAGTCAGTACAGTGCACAGACATGAGCGGATGGCAGCAGCAGAAGCCATCACATCCAAAGAGCGCATGCCCTTAATCCCACTATGTTCCTTTTCGGTCCCTCACACTCACCTTGTTTTGAGGCGCCTCAAAACTAATCCAACTATGTTCCTTTTCGTCCCCTCACACCCACCTTGGCATGCCCCTCAATCCCAACCGTGGGCTCCGTGGCATCACCCAGGGCGTCCACGCAGATAGCGAGGGAGCGCTTGGCAGCCAGCACGCGGGAGATCTTGCCCTTGAGCTTGGGAGGCGCCTGGCCCTTTCCCTTCCCCTCTGTCCGGCCCTTTTGACACGCACCTTAGCGCGGCCCTCAATGCCAACAGTGGGCTCGGTGGCATCACCCAGAGCGTCCACGCGGATAGCGAGAGAGCACTTGGCAGCCAGCACGCGGGAGATCTTGCCCTTGAGCTTGGGAGGCGCCTGGCCCTTTCCCTTCCCCTCTGTCCGGCCCTTTTGACACGCACCTTAGCGCGGCCCTCAATGCCAACAGTGGGCTCGGTGGCATCACCCAGAGCGTCCACGCGGATAGCGAGAGAGCACTTGGCAGCCAGCACGCGGGAGATCTTGCCCTTGAGCTTGGGAGGCGCCTGGCCCTTTCCCTTCCCCTCTGTCCGGCCCTTTTGACACGCACCTTAGCGCGGCCCTCAATGCCAACAGTGGGCTCGGTGGCATCACCCAGAGCGTCCACGCGGATAGCGAGAGAGCACTTGGCAGCCAGCACGCGGGAGATCTTGCCCTTGAGCTTGGGCGGCGCCTGGCCCTTTCCCTTCCCCTCTGTCCGGCCCTTTTGACACGCACCTTAGCGCGGCCCTCAATGCCAACAGTGGGCTCGGTGGCATCACCCAGAGCGTCCACGCGGATAGCGAGAGAGCACTTGGCAGCCAGCACGCGGGAGATCTTGCCCTTGAGCTTGGGAGGCGCCTGGCCCTTTCCCTTCCCCTCTGTCCGGCCCTTTTGACACGCACCTTAGCGCGGCCCTCAATGCCAACAGTGGGCTCGGTGGCATCACCCAGAGCGTCCACGCGGATAGCGAGAGAGCACTTGGCAGCCAGCACGCGGGAGATCTTGCCCTTGGGCTTGGGAGGCGCCTGGCCCTTTCCCTTCCCCTCTGTCCGGCCCTTTTGACACGCACCTTAGCGCGGCCCTCAATGCCAACAGTGGGCTCGGTGGCATCACCCAGAGCGTCCACGCGGATAGCGAGAGAGCACTTGGCAGCCAGCACGCGGGAGATCTTGCCCTTGAGCTTGGGGGGCGCCTGGCCGATGAGGGACGCGTGGAAGATGAGCCCGTACTTGGGCGTGTCGTGCTTCGTCTTGAGCGCGCGGAAGAGCGCCTGAGGAGAAAGGGGGGGATAGGGAACAACAGGGATCAGGGGGAAAAAGGGGGGGGGGGGATGAGCGAGGCGTGGAAGATGAGCCCGTACTTGGGCGTGTCATGCTTCGTCTTGAGGGCGCGGAACAGGGCCTGTGAGGGTGGTGAGGGGGGTGGGAAAAGGGGTATTAGAGGCAGGGAGGGGGAAAGGGCCGCCGATGAGCGAGGTCTGGAAAAAGAGCCAATACCGTGCTGTGCCCCCTGTCCCATGCCGTGACATCTGTCATGCTACACCATCATCAGCACATGGCATACCTTCTCAGCGCCCAGGATCTGAACAGTGGAGGCGGGGTCGGGGTGCTTGGCCAGACTCATAGGCGAGCCAGCATGGGCGATGAGGCACGCCCCCACCACACCACGTGACCTTCACGTTAGACTCAAAAGCTAATCAGCAATGTGGCTTACCTTCTCAGCGCCAAGGATCTGCACGGTGGAGGCGGGGTGCTTGGCCAGGCTCATGAGGGAGCCGGCATGTGCGATGAGGCGCGCCCCCACGAGCTCGCCCACCAGCACCGTCAGGTTGGGCGCTATGGCCAGCACGCTGCCTGCGCCCTTTACCTTGCTACACCACCACCACCCCTTCACCCCGCAACGTACGAACCTTCTCAGCGCCAAGGATCTGCACGGTGGAGGCGGGGTGCTTGGCCAGGCTCATCAATGACCCCGCGTGCGCGATGAGGCGCGCCCCCACGAGCTCGCCCACCAGCACCGTCAGGTTGGGGGCGATAGCGAGCATGCGCGATCGCAGGTAGTCAAACAGCTGCGCGCGGTACTCTGATAGGGCGATGACCTGGATGAGGAAAGGTTCAAGGGTGGTGAGGAATGAGGCACTTCAGTCGGTCAGACGAGGATCGGTGAGAAAGGAAAGGGAATCGAAATCACGTATACAGTGAGGCACTAACGCCGCACTCTGTGTGGGGCAGAACTGTGAGTGTGTGTACCAGCATGGCAGCCATTTCACTTACATTGTCCCTGCATTGACTGGAACTTGTGACCCACCTGGTCGCAGAGCGCAATGATGTTGGTCATGTCGTGCTCGCTGACCTCCGTGCCCATGGAGATCACCGCCGCCTCCTTCATGGCCGACTCCACGTCCTCCTCCAATATCTGGTGCAAGAGAGTGACGAAGGAGGGGGGGAGCATGGGTGAGCAAGGTTTTGAGCCGCACTGCCCATGGAGATCACAGCGGCCTCCTTCATCGCCGACTCCACGTCCTCCTCCAATATCTGGCGTGTGGGGTTGGGGACGGTGGCATGGATGGGCACGTGCAGAGAGCAGAATATCGTTCACCACTTAAAATGTACGGCAGGGGTCACGGACAACCCCACACGCCAGATATTGGAGTCCACCGCTGCTTCCTTCATCGCCGACTCCACATCCTCCTCCAGTATCTGCCGCGACCCACAGGGAGGGGGGATGCGGGAAAGAGGAACGGGAGATAAAAATGCGCGGACAAATACAGGGAGATGGATACATCGCTTCAGACTCTAGCCATGATGTGTATCTCAAGAGTGGAAGGGGGAGAGGAGGGGGGAGAGGAGGGAGGGGAGCAGGGGGAGAAGAGTGGGGGACCAAGCTCACCCCGGAGAAGTCCAGGTCAGCGGCGTTGACGCGGTGGGCCATGAGCTTAACAGTCCTGGCGTACTGCAGGTTGTCCGTGACGATCTTGGCGAGCTCGGGGAAGTGCCAGCCGTACCACTCGCCTTGAGACCAACGGAAGGGACACACACGCCTCGACACAGAGAAGAGAGTAGAGGGAAGAGGAGTGGGAGAGGAAGGGGGGAAAGGAAGGGGGAAAGGAGTGGGGAGGGGAGCGGGGAGAGGAGAAAGGGACCAAGCTTACCCCGGAGAAGTCGAGGTCGGCGGCGTTCACGCGGTGAGCCATGAGCTTGACGGCGCGCGCGTACTGCAGGTTGTCCGTGACGATCTTAGCGAGCTCGGGGAAGTGCCAGCCGTACCACTCGCGCACGCGCATGGCGTACGTGTTGAGCTCCTTGTCCAGGTCGTCCAGCAGCCCGATCGCCTGCACTATCATCGTGTCCACCTGCGGTGAACGGTTGGAGAGGGGTTGGGGGCAGTTTGGGGTGGTTCAGAGGAGACTAAGAAGGTGTTCAGCTCCTTGTCCAGATCGTCCAAGAGACCAATGGCCTGCACTATCATCGTGTCCACCTGCGATGAACGGTTGGCGGGGGTTGGGTGGAGTTTGGGATGGTTTAGACGAGACTGAGACGGTGTTGAGCTCCTTGTCCAGGTCGTCTAAGAGACCAATGGCCTGCACTATCATCGTGTCCACCTGCGATCATGGTGGGTGGGTGGTGGTGCGAGGGGGACATGGTGTGAGGTGGATTTGATTGGCTCCAGAGGTGCCTCAACTCGCGCACGCGCATGGCGTACGTGTTCAGCTCCTTGTCCAGATCGTCCAGCAGCCCGATCGCCTGCACTATCATCGTGTCCACCTGGGTGGGTGGAGGGGGGGGGGGGGGGGAGGAAGGGGAGGGGAGAGGGGGGAGGTGATGGAAGGAGGATTTGGTTGACTATAGGGGTGTCTCAAAGGGCGCACGCGCATGGCGTACGTGTTGAGCTCCTTGTGCAGGTCGTCCAGCAGCCCGATGGCCTGCACTATCATCGTGTCCACCTGCGTTGAACGGGATTGGTTGATGAGGGAAGGGGCAGCAAGGTGGGGAACGGGTGAGGCGTCTGGGGCAGGGGATTGATGGACGGTGCATGTGCATGCAGTATAGATTTGGCTTCGAAAGCGCCGCGCCTCAAACGGCGCATGTGCACAGCAGCACAATACAGAACGGAACTTTACGTGTTGAGCTCCTTGTCCAGGTAGTCCAGCAGCGCAATCAATAGAGCAACAATACTATCATCGTGTGAGACGTCTCAAAACTTTTGAGATGTCTCAAAGCTCCTTGTCCAGGTCGTCCAGCAGCGCAATACAATAGAGCAGCACTATCATCGTGTTCACCTTATCCGGAGAGAACTTGAGCTTGTAGCGGGACAGGCTGTGGCTGAGACCGAGGCTCATGGGCGCGAGGTCCGTGCCTGACAGCCCCGCAATGAGCTCCGAGAGGTGCGAGCGCACCCCGCGCATGAGCTCCATTACCGCCGCGTTGTGCACGCATGTCACTCCCTGCATGGGCGCACCGGCAGAGGGAGTAGGGGAGGGGGGGGAGGGACAATGAGGTCGGCGCCTGACAGCCCTGCGATGAGCTCCGGAAGGTGCGAGCGAGCGCACCCCGCGCATCAGCCCCATCACTCCCGCGCTGTGCACGCACGTCACTCCCTGTCGCGCGTGGAGAAGCACGGAGGGAGAAAAAAAGAGCGGGAGCGGCAGGAAGAAAGAAATCTGAGAGGTGTCATGTCAAAGCCCCTCCCCTACCAGTGCCAGTGCAAATGGCCTCTTACCACCGATGCCACTTCACATCTAGGGATTTTCTAGCAGTGACACAGCGCCTTCGCAAGTTTTTTGCTCTATTCCCTTGCGCGGCCTGCTCTCCACTCCACCATAATTCTTCTTACAATCCCACCCACCCCCTTTCTTATCACAATCCTTCCCTCATTCCCAACCCCCTTCGAATCATGTTCCCTCTGCCAATCCCAATCCCCTTTTTCACCCGCGTCCTCCCCCTTCCCCGGCGCGCCAATCCCCGCACCAGTTTCTCTTTGATAATGTTGCCAAGTTTTGAGTCGGCGACGGCGAGCGTCTCGCCCTGGCACTGCGCCTTGACGAACTTCTTCAGCCCCTTGCTCAGCTTGCTCTCCACCAGCGCCGTCGCCGCGCCCAGCGCGTCCGCCGTGTTCTCGAACTTGTCGAACGCCTTCAGCTTCACCACCTGCACGAAGGGGAGGTTGGAGAAGACGGTTGGTTTGGACGGACCGAGGACGGGGTCGGCCGAGCTATCCCCTCATTGCTTTTCCCCCGCTAAAGCCTATCGCATTCTCTCGAATTTGTCACCTTACTCTCTCGCTCTACCAAACTCTCTTATAAATTCGCAAAAAACTTCCCTGCCTGGTTACCACTCTCTACCGCTTGGCACCACTTGCCTTGCTGGCGCTCTCCGACGACTCGAAGTGCGTCCAGATGTCCTCGACCTTGTCGAGCTTCTTGTCGTCTAGCACCTTGAACAGCGCGAACCCCGCCGGGGTCTCGAACAGAAGCAACATCGCGACGGCGACGACGGCGACGGGTTCCGGTTTTTAGAATTGGTTCTGCGCGGAACAACGCAAGGATTCAGTAGAGAAAATGTCAATGTAGGTACTATCGGCAATGGCAATGTGAGCATCGTCGCGAAAGCTGCTGACGGGGATGGACGAGGGATTAAGGAAGGATGGGATATGTGCGAAGTGGGGCACGAGAATTCACGAGACCTAACGAATAGAAGAGATGCCCTCTACGAATAGAACGGCACGAGACCTAAACTCTACGAATGTAAAAAACGGAAACCCTGATGACCGTCTCAGGATTCCTCAGCACATCCAAACTCTGACGTTTATATACGTGACTATTAGCACCCTAACGCTCAAGAAAGCGACTTTTGGCACGGTAAAGGTTACTTAACATAGTATAACCCTCACAGACGCGGTAATTTGTCGCCGTTTGCGCTACGTCAGTTCCGTCAGTGCCTGTTGCCTGTCGCACATTTTCCGTCGACGAAACCTACCTCGATGAAGAGAGTCACAAAAATATTAGAGTCTTCGATCTTCTTCTAATTATCGAGCGAATGCAGGACCAGGAAACGCGGAGGAAAATAAGCTTTTGTGTCGTGCCTGCTAAAGCCCTGAGACCAGGAACAAGATTTCCAGGTTTCCAGGTTTCTCCGAAGAGAAAGGGAAAAGAGGGCGGGAGAGGAGAGAGAGAGAGGGGGAAGAGGAGGATCCTGAGGAACGAAACAAACCTCGAGGAAGAGGGGAGGAGGCAGAACATTGTCGTCCTCGATACAGTGCACCGGTGTTCTGGCCCGAGTAAACTACGATGCACATTTGCTTGGACTAACTTTTTGTCCAAACGAAAGAAGGCGTACAATTTTCATCTCCCTTTCCAACCATTTTCCACACAAACACACACCTCTTCACGCACATCACAGGCGGCAGGGCTTCATTTACATAAGCAGCATTTAGGCACCCTCGCCATTTGATGTGGTCGCATTCTCGTTGGGCAGCAGCACGAAGCGCGTCATTCGCCCCTGTCCTCCCGGTTTTTCGCCGATAATGAAGCCCGAAACGCCGTGGGGGAGGCTGGATTTTCCGCAGCCGCCGCAGCCGCGACGGCGACCGCAAGAGGAGCAGAACCACCACCACCAGCAGCAGCAGCAGCAGCAGCCACTGCTGCAGAAACGCTGGCAGGAGCAGGAACATCGGGAGCAGCATCGTGAGCGCGCCGCATATGACGGACAGCGTGCTCGCCTCCATAGGTCGCAGCAGGTAGAGCAGCAGCAGCAGCAGCAGCAGCAGCAGCAGCAGCAGCAGCGTCAACCGCAGCCGCAGCATCTTGACATGAGCGCACGTGACGGGTTCAGGCAGAGTCCTCGCCAGCAGCAGTCACAGCCGTCGCAGCACTCGCAGACGCATCGCCCACCTCTTCGCGAACGCCTTCGCGAGCTCTCGCAACAAATTCGGGAAGCGGTGCGCGAGGGGCAGCGCGCGGAGGGCGGGCGCAGGCGCAGGCGCGCGGAGGAGCAGGTCGACGCGCTCATGGCGGAATACCACGCGCTGGGCGGCGCGCCTGCCACGTGGATGTACGCGGCTCGGATCCAGCTGTGCCTGGTGAAGGGTGCCACGTGGCGCCGACTCGGGAGGGGGAGGTTTCAACTGGGGGAGGTGGAACCCAGTCGGACGCGTTTGGGCGGGGGCGCAACGGGGGAACGCGAGGGGGAAGTGGGTTTAGGGGAAGGGGAAGCGGAAGGGAGGCAGCGAGTAGCGTTGCGACAGCTGGCGCGCGCGCGGGAGCTGTGGCAGGAGATGCGCGCCTGCAGCCTGCAAGCAGACAAATACGCCGCCTCTGCAATGATTGCGGTGTGCGGGCGGGCGGGCAGGGCGGATGAAGCTGAGAGGGTGATGGCAGCGGTGGCGCTGGGGGAGGATACGGTTGGGGGGGGTACGGTGGGGGAGAATATGGTGGGGAAGCCTGGGGTGGGGAAACAGGTGGAGCCGGGGAAGGTGTCTTCTGGTGTTGTTGTTGCTGATGGTGCAACGAGCCGTGAAGCAGGCATGGGTGGGTTCAACAGTGGGTTGAATGGTGGGACAAGGAGTGGCTTTAACGATGCGGTGGTGTGGAATGCGCTGGCGGATGCGTGGAGTCGGAGCGGGGATGCAGAGCGGTCCGAAGGGGTGCTCTCACGCATGCTGCATGCCGGCTGCGCACCCAACCTCGTGAGTCTTGACACTGGTGGTGGCGGCTTCTGCTGCTGCTGCTGCTGCTGCTGCTGCTGCTGCTGCTGCTGCTGCTGCTGCTGCTGCTGCTGCTGCTGCTGCTGCTGCTGCTGCTGAGCGGCCATTGCCGGTGTATGCTGCTGCCTCAAATTTGTTTCACTGCTCTGCCCCATTGTCATCATACCATTGCTGTCGTATCAACTTGTTGCCCGCATTACATGTAAGCCCCATGACCATTTCCTTTCTGATGCTTGTTTCGCCCATGTGCTCGTCCCCCTATGTACTTGCTCCGTCCATGTACATGCTCCATTCTCCCCACGAGCAGCGCAGCTACAACATTGTTCTCAACGCCCATGCCAAGAGCATCACACCATGTCCTTGCTCGCCCATGTGCTCGTCCCTCCATGTGCCCATTCTCCCCACGAGCAGCGCAGCTACAACATTGTTCTCAACGCCCATGCCAAGAGCATCACACCATGTCCTTGCTCGCCCATGTGCTCGTCCCTCCATGTGCCCATTCTCCCCACGAGCAGCGCAGCTACAACATTGTTCTCAACGCCCATGCCAAGAGCATCACACCATGTCCTTGCTCGCCCATGTGCTCGTCCCTCCATGTGCCCATTCTCCCCACGAGCAGCGCAGCTACAACATTGTTCTCAACGCCCATGCCAAGAGCATCACACCATGTCCTTGCTCGCCCATGTGCTCGTCCCTCCATGTGCCCATTCTCCCCACGAGCAGCGCAGCTACAACATTGTTCTCAACGCCCATGCCAAGAGCATCACACCATGTCCTTGCTCGCCCATGTGCTCGTCCCTCCATGTGCCCATTCTCCCCACGAGCAGCGCAGCTACAACATTGTTCTCAACGCCCATGCCAAGAGCATCACACCATGTCCTTGCTCGCCCATGTGCTCGTCCCTCCATGTGCCCATTCTCCCCACGAGCAGCGCAGCTACAACATTGTTCTCAACGCCCATGCCAAGAGCATCACACCATGTCCTTGCTCGCCCATGTGCTCGTCCCTCCATGTGCCCATTCTCCCCACGAGCAGCGCAGCTACAACATTGTTCTCAACGCCATGCCAAGAGCATCACACCATGTCCTTGCTCGCCCATGTGCTCGTCCCTCCATGTGCCCATTCTCCCCACGAGCAGCGCAGCTACAACATTGTTCTCAACGCCCATGCCAAGAGCATCACACCATGTCCTTGCTCGCCCATGTGCTCGTCCCTCCATGTGCCCATTCTCCCCACGAGCAGCGCAGCTACAACATTGTTCTCAACGCCCATGCCAAGAGCATCACACCATGTCCTTGCTCGCCCATGTGCTCGTCCCTCCATGTGCCCATTCTCCCCACGAGCAGCGCAGCTACAACATTGTTCTCAACGCCCATGCCAAGAGCATCACACCATGTCCTTGCTCGCCCATGTGCTCGTCCCTCCATGTGCCCATTCTCCCCACGAGCAGCGCAGCTACAACATTGTTCTCAACGCCCATGCCAAGAGCATCACACCATGTCCTTGCTCGCCCATGTGCTCGTCCCTCCATGTGCCCATTCTCCCCACGAGCAGCGCAGCTACAACATTGTTCTCAACGCCCATGCCAAGAGCATCACACCATGTCCTTGCTCGCCCATGTGCTCGTCCCTCCATGTGCCCATTCTCCCCACGAGCAGCGCAGCTACAACATTGTTCTCAACGCCCATGCCAAGAGCATCACACCATGTCCTTGCTCGCCCATGTGCTCGTCCCTCCATGTGCCCATTCTCCCCACGAGCAGCGCAGCTACAACATTGTTCTCAACGCCCATGCCAAGAGCATCACACCATGTCCTTGCTCGCCCATGTGCTCGTCCCTCCATGTGCCCATTCTCCCCACGAGCAGCGCAGCTACAACATTGTTCTCAACGCCCATGCCAAGAGCATCACACCATGTCCTTGCTCGCCCATGTGCTCGTCCCTCCATGTGCCCATTCTCCCCACGAGCAGCGCAGCTACAACATTGTTCTCAACGCCCATGCCAAGAGCATCACACCATGTCCTTGCTCGCCCATGTGCTCGTCCCTCCATGTGCCCATTCTCCCCACGAGCAGCGCAGCTACAACATTGTTCTCAACGCCCATGCCAAGAGCATCACACCATGTCCTTGCTCGCCCATGTGCTCGTCCCTCCATGTGCCCATTCTCCCCACGAGCAGCGCAGCTACAACATTGTTCTCAACGCCCATGCCAAGAGCATCACACCATGTCCTTGCTCGCCCATGTGCTCGTCCCTCCATGTGCCCATTCTCCCCACGAGCAGCGCAGCTACAACATTGTTCTCAACGCCCATGCCAAGAGCATCACACCATGTCCTTGCTCGCCCATGTGCTCGTCCCTCCATGTGCCCATTCTCCCCACGAGCAGCGCAGCTACAACATTGTTCTCAACGCCCATGCCAAGAGCATCACACCATGTCCTTGCTCGCCCATGTGCTCGTCCCTCCATGTGCCCATTCTCCCCACGAGCAGCGCAGCTACAACATTGTTCTCAACGCCCATGCCAAGAGCATCACACCATGTCCTTGCTCGCCCATGTGCTCGTCCCTCCATGTGCCCATTCTCCCCACGAGCAGCGCAGCTACAACATTGTTCTCAACGCCCATGCCAAGAGCATCACACCATGTCCTTGCTCGCCCATGTGCTCGTCCCTCCATGTGCCCATTCTCCCCACGAGCAGCGCAGCTACAACATTGTTCTCAACGCCCATGCCAAGAGCATCACACCATGTCCTTGCTCGCCCATGTGCTCGTCCCTCCATGTGCCCATTCTCCCCACGAGCAGCGCAGCTACAACATTGTTCTCAACGCCCATGCCAAGAGCATCACACCATGTCCTTGCTCGCCCATGTGCTCGTCCCTCCATGTGCCCATTCTCCCCACGAGCAGCGCAGCTACAACATTGTTCTCAACGCCCATGCCAAGAGCATCACACCATGTCCTTGCTCGCCCATGTGCTCGTCCCTCCATGTGCCCATTCTCCCCACGAGCAGCGCAGCTACAACATTGTTCTCAACGCCCATGCCAAGAGCATCACACCATGTCCTTGCTCGCCCATGTGCTCGTCCCTCCATGTGCCCATTCTCCCCACGAGCAGCGCAGCTACAACATTGTTCTCAACGCCCATGCCAAGAGCATCACACCATGTCCTTGCTCGCCCATGTGCTCGTCCCTCCATGTGCCCATTCTCCCCACGAGCAGCGCAGCTACAACATTGTTCTCAACGCCCATGCCAAGAGCATCACACCATGTCCTTGCTCGCCCATGTGCTCGTCCCTCCATGTGCCCATTCTCCCCACGAGCAGCGCAGCTACAACATTGTTCTCAACGCCCATGCCAAGAGCATCACACCATGTCCTTGCTCGCCCATGTGCTCGTCCCTCCATGTGCCCATTCTCCCCACGAGCAGCGCAGCTACAACATTGTTCTCAACGCCCATGCCAAGAGCATCACACCATGTCCTTGCTCGCCCATGTGCTCGTCCCTCCATGTGCCCATTCTCCCCACGAGCAGCGCAGCTACAACATTGTTCTCAACGCCCATGCCAAGAGCATCACACCATGTCCTTGCTCGCCCATGTGCTCGTCCCTCCATGTGCCCATTCTCCCCACGAGCAGCGCAGCTACAACATTGTTCTCAACGCCCATGCCAAGAGCATCACACCATGTCCTTGCTCGCCCATGTGCTCGTCCCTCCATGTGCCCATTCTCCCCACGAGCAGCGCAGCTACAACATTGTTCTCAACGCCCATGCCAAGAGCATCACACCATGTCCTTGCTCGCCCATGTGCTCGTCCCTCCATGTGCCCATTCTCCCCACGAGCAGCGCAGCTACAACATTGTTCTCAACGCCCATGCCAAGAGCATCACACCATGTCCTTGCTCGCCCATGTGCTCGTCCCTCCATGTGCCCATTCTCCCCACGAGCAGCGCAGCTACAACATTGTTCTCAACGCCCATGCCAAGAGCATCACACCATGTCCTTGCTCGCCCATGTGCTCGTCCCTCCATGTGCCCATTCTCCCCACGAGCAGCGCAGCTACAACATTGTTCTCAACGCCCATGCCAAGAGCATCACACCATGTCCTTGCTCGCCCATGTGCTCGTCCCTCCATGTGCCCATTCTCCCCACGAGCAGCGCAGCTACAACATTGTTCTCAACGCCCATGCCAAGAGCATCACACCATGTCCTTGCTCGCCCATGTGCTCGTCCCTCCATGTGCCCATTCTCCCCACGAGCAGCGCAGCTACAACATTGTTCTCAACGCCCATGCCAAGAGCATCACACCATGTCCTTGCTCGCCCATGTGCTCGTCCCTCCATGTGCCCATTCTCCCCACGAGCAGCGCAGCTACAACATTGTTCTCAACGCCCATGCCAAGAGCATCACACCATGTCCTTGCTCGCCCATGTGCTCGTCCCTCCATGTGCCCATTCTCCCCACGAGCAGCGCAGCTACAACATTGTTCTCAACGCCCATGCCAAGAGCATCACACCATGTCCTTGCTCGCCCATGTGCTCGTCCCTCCATGTGCCCATTCTCCCCACGAGCAGCGCAGCTACAACATTGTTCTCAACGCCCATGCCAAGAGCATCACACCATGTCCTTGCTCGCCCATGTGCTCGTCCCTCCATGTGCCCATTCTCCCCACGAGCAGCGCAGCTACAACATTGTTCTCAACGCCCATGCCAAGAGCATCACACCATGTCCTTGCTCGCCCATGTGCTCGTCCCTCCATGTGCCCATTCTCCCCACGAGCAGCGCAGCTACAACATTGTTCTCAACGCCCATGCCAAGAGCATCACACCATGTCCTTGCTCGCCCATGTGCTCGTCCCTCCATGTGCCCATTCTCCCCACGAGCAGCGCAGCTACAACATTGTTCTCAACGCCCATGCCAAGAGCATCACACCATGTCCTTGCTCGCCCATGTGCTCGTCCCTCCATGTGCCCATTCTCCCCACGAGCAGCGCAGCTACAACATTGTTCTCAACGCCCATGCCAAGAGCATCACACCATGTCCTTGCTCGCCCATGTGCTCGTCCCTCCATGTGCCCATTCTCCCCACGAGCAGCGCAGCTACAACATTGTTCTCAACGCCCATGCCAAGAGCATCACACCATGTCCTTGCTCGCCCATGTGCTCGTCCCTCCATGTGCCCATTCTCCCCACGAGCAGCGCAGCTACAACATTGTTCTCAACGCCCATGCCAAGAGCATCACACCATGTCCTTGCTCGCCCATGTGCTCGTCCCTCCATGTGCCCATTCTCCCCACGAGCAGCGCAGCTACAACATTGTTCTCAACGCCCATGCCAAGAGCATCACACCATGTCCTTGCTCGCCCATGTGCTCGTCCCTCCATGTGCCCATTCTCCCCACGAGCAGCGCAGCTACAACATTGTTCTCAACGCCCATGCCAAGAGCATCACACCATGTCCTTGCTCGCCCATGTGCTCGTCCCTCCATGTGCCCATTCTCCCCACGAGCAGCGCAGCTACAACATTGTTCTCAACGCCCATGCCAAGAGCATCACACCATGTCCTTGCTCGCCCATGTGCTCGTCCCTCCATGTGCCCATTCTCCCCACGAGCAGCGCAGCTACAACATTGTTCTCAACGCCCATGCCAAGAGCATCACACCATGTCCTTGCTCGCCCATGTGCTCGTCCCTCCATGTGCCCATTCTCCCCACGAGCAGCGCAGCTACAACATTGTTCTCAACGCCCATGCCAAGAGCATCACACCATGTCCTTGCTCGCCCATGTGCTCGTCCCTCCATGTGCCCATTCTCCCCACGAGCAGCGCAGCTACAACATTGTTCTCAACGCCCATGCCAAGAGCATCACACCATGTCCTTGCTCGCCCATGTGCTCGTCCCTCCATGTGCCCATTCTCCCCACGAGCAGCGCAGCTACAACATTGTTCTCAACGCCCATGCCAAGAGCATCACACCATGTCCTTGCTCGCCCATGTGCTCGTCCCTCCATGTGCCCATTCTCCCCACGAGCAGCGCAGCTACAACATTGTTCTCAACGCCCATGCCAAGAGCATCACACCATGTCCTTGCTCGCCCATGTGCTCGTCCCTCCATGTGCCCATTCTCCCCACGAGCAGCGCAGCTACAACATTGTTCTCAACGCCCATGCCAAGAGCATCACACCATGTCCTTGCTCGCCCATGTGCTCGTCCCTCCATGTGCCCATTCTCCCCACGAGCAGCGCAGCTACAACATTGTTCTCAACGCCCATGCCAAGAGCATCACACCATGTCCTTGCTCGCCCATGTGCTCGTCCCTCCATGTGCCCATTCTCCCCACGAGCAGCGCAGCTACAACATTGTTCTCAACGCCCATGCCAAGAGCATCACACCATGTCCTTGCTCGCCCATGTGCTCGTCCCTCCATGTGCCCATTCTCCCCACGAGCAGCGCAGCTACAACATTGTTCTCAACGCCCATGCCAAGAGCATCACACCATGTCCTTGCTCGCCCATGTGCTCGTCCCTCCATGTGCCCATTCTCCCCACGAGCAGCGCAGCTACAACATTGTTCTCAACGCCCATGCCAAGAGCATCACACCATGTCCTTGCTCGCCCATGTGCTCGTCCCTCCATGTGCCCATTCTCCCCACGAGCAGCGCAGCTACAACATTGTTCTCAACGCCCATGCCAAGAGCATCACACCATGTCCTTGCTCGCCCATGTGCTCGTCCCTCCATGTGCCCATTCTCCCCACGAGCAGCGCAGCTACAACATTGTTCTCAACGCCCATGCCAAGAGCATCACACCATGTCCTTGCTCGCCCATGTGCTCGTCCCTCCATGTGCCCATTCTCCCCACGAGCAGCGCAGCTACAACATTGTTCTCAACGCCCATGCCAAGAGCATCACACCATGTCCTTGCTCGCCCATGTGCTCGTCCCTCCATGTGCCCATTCTCCCCACGAGCAGCGCAGCTACAACATTGTTCTCAACGCCCATGCCAAGAGCATCACACCATGTCCTTGCTCGCCCATGTGCTCGTCCCTCCATGTGCCCATTCTCCCCACGAGCAGCGCAGCTACAACATTGTTCTCAACGCCCATGCCAAGAGCATCACACCATGTCCTTGCTCGCCCATGTGCTCGTCCCTCCATGTGCCCATTCTCCCCACGAGCAGCGCAGCTACAACATTGTTCTCAACGCCCATGCCAAGAGCATCACACCATGTCCTTGCTCGCCCATGTGCTCGTCCCTCCATGTGCCCATTCTCCCCACGAGCAGCGCAGCTACAACATTGTTCTCAACGCCCATGCCAAGAGCATCACACCATGTCCTTGCTCGCCCATGTGCTCGTCCCTCCATGTGCCCATTCTCCCCACGAGCAGCGCAGCTACAACATTGTTCTCAACGCCCATGCCAAGAGCATCACACCATGTCCTTGCTCGCCCATGTGCTCGTCCCTCCATGTGCCCATTCTCCCCACGAGCAGCGCAGCTACAACATTGTTCTCAACGCCCATGCCAAGAGCATCACACCATGTCCTTGCTCGCCCATGTGCTCGTCCCTCCATGTGCCCATTCTCCCCACGAGCAGCGCAGCTACAACATTGTTCTCAACGCCCATGCCAAGAGCATCACACCATGTCCTTGCTCGCCCATGTGCTCGTCCCTCCATGTGCCCATTCTCCCCACGAGCAGCGCAGCTACAACATTGTTCTCAACGCCCATGCCAAGAGCATCACACCATGTCCTTGCTCGCCCATGTGCTCGTCCCTCCATGTGCCCATTCTCCCCACGAGCAGCGCAGCTACAACATTGTTCTCAACGCCCATGCCAAGAGCATCACACCATGTCCTTGCTCGCCCATGTGCTCGTCCCTCCATGTGCCCATTCTCCCCACGAGCAGCGCAGCTACAACATTGTTCTCAACGCCCATGCCAAGAGCATCACACCATGTCCTTGCTCGCCCATGTGCTCGTCCCTCCATGTGCCCATTCTCCCCACGAGCAGCGCAGCTACAACATTGTTCTCAACGCCCATGCCAAGAGCATCACACCATGTCCTTGCTCGCCCATGTGCTCGTCCCTCCATGTGCCCATTCTCCCCACGAGCAGCGCAGCTACAACATTGTTCTCAACGCCCATGCCAAGAGCATCACACCAGTCAGTGCCCATGGTGATGGTGACTTTGATGGTGATGAGCATGGCGATACTGGGAGGGACAACAATGACCATACAGAGGAGCAAGTTGCGCCCCCATCCATGCCACCCCGGCTCAGCCCCTCGGAAACCATCCATCGCATGCGCCAGCTCATCGCCTCGATGTCGAGACAAGACTTGCCGCCCACGCCTAGTGATTCCTACTGGAGCGCGCCCAGACAGGACAACGCGGCCTCTGTGACAAAGCGTTTGAGAAGCACCTCTGATGCTGTAACTCCTTGTACTATCACTTCTGGTGATGTCTCTCCCAAGACTGTAGCTCCTCCTGTTGCTGTCACTCCTGATATAGTCACGTTCAACACGTTGCTGGATGCATGTGCCCGGGCGGCGAATGCGGATGCTGCAGTGGACACGTGGCAGCAGATGATTGGTTCAGGCATCACACCCACAGAGGTAGGGGCGGATTGCCATTGGGGGTAGTGGTGGGGGGTTGGATGGGTGAATGGGTGAGTGGGTGGATGGATGGGTGGTGTTGAGAGGTGGGGGGGGATTTCATGAATGTGACTTTCGTGCATCCAGAGAAGGGCATCATCAATGTTGAGAGATGGGCACATTCGATTTTATTCTTCTCATCACTCCCTCTCGACTTCTTCTCCCCTTCCCCCCCTTCCCCCCAATCACCCCTCCACAGGCCTCCATTTCCTCCCTCACGGCCGCCTTCCGCCTGGCCCCCTCGCTGCCTCTCGACCTGCTCGCGTCCCTGGCGCCCACTGACCTTCCTCCACGTCAGCCAGCCAATCAGACGCAGCAATCTGCAATAAAGCAGAATCAGCAGCAGCAGCAGCAGCAGCAGCAGCAGCAGCAGCATCAACTGTATCCCCGTGCTGCTGGTGCTCCCACCTCTGTACAGTCACCTTCCGCCTCTGTACAGTCACCTTCCGCCTCTGTACAGTCACCTTCCGCCTCTGTACAGTCACCTTCCATCTCTGTACAGTCACACTCCTCACGGTCAGTTCCTTCTGTACAGTCACCTCTCACTACCAGTGGGTCAGTCATTGAAGCAGCCAGCAGCCAGAAGCAAGACCAGGACCCTCATCCCTCCCTTTCCTCTACCACACTCCCAAGCTCATCCCCATCCTCCCACTCTCATCCCACCTCACCCATTCCGAGTCCCAGAAGGAAACAAAACAGTACGGATTTCCCTTTCCGCCCGTCCCTTGTCTCGGCCACCATTCCAAGCTCACCCGCAGCTCCCCTTCCCTCACCTCGCACGTCTCGAGATGAGATGAGTTTTGAGGCACCTCAAAAAGCGGCCACCATTCCAACCTCACCCGCAGCTCCGCCTCTCTCACCTCGCTTCAGCACCGCTGCTATAAGCCCTCCCCCGCTTCCCCCGGCCACCTCTGCTGCCACTGAACCCGGCCTGTTTTCTAGGCTCGGCCCGTGGCTGCAGCAGTGGTTCGGGGAGCCAGCAGCCACGGCACCACCAGCACAGGGGGCTCTGGGGTCTGGTGGAATGGGGATGAAGGGCGGTTGGAGGGTTGAGGTGTCGAGATATGGGACTGGCAAGACGGGGGGTGAGCGGGGAAGAGGAGGAGGCGGAGGTGGGGGGAGGGGGAGAGGCGAGCTGGGAGTGAGAGGGAGAGCGTGGCAGGGCAGGAGCATGGGGGAGAGGGCATGGGAGGGAAGTGAGGGCGTGGGGAAGGAGAGGACATGGGAGGGAAGTGAGGGCATGGGGGAGAGGGCACAGGAGGGCAGCGAGGCCATGGGGGTGGAGACTGTGGATTTGCATGGCTTGTCCGCCATGCAGAGTAGACTCCGACTCATGGATGTCCTACTCCCTCCCTTGAGTCCTTCTTCACTCGCTCCCTCACTCTCTTCCTCACTCCCTCACCCGCACCTGCACTCACACCCTCACTCGCCCTCTCCTTCACACACTCGTGTGGCTGCTCCCTCAGTCTCCGCACGAGGTGGTGAAACTGAGGGGGTAAACCTCTCCTTTCTAGCTCATTCTAAGGCACTGGAAGCACCTCAGGAGCAGCCAGTGTTTGTGCATGGATCCACCCTGACAGCGCCAGCATCGGCGTCAGCAGCGGGTCGGAAAAAGGGTGGTGGTGCCACTCTTTCTGCGCAGGGCAAAGGGCGGGCTTGTGAGGCGGCTCAGAAGGCAGCAGCAGCAGCAGCAGCGGGACAGGGAAAGGCTGGTGGCGGCACTCCCTCTGCGCAGGATAGAGGGCTCGTCATTATCACCGGGGCTGGAAGGTCCGTTTTGACCGTCGCAAACCTTTGAGTCGACTCAAAAGGTGACTTTTGAGTCGACTCAAAACGAGGTGACTTTTGAGTCGACTCAAAAGTCATTTTGAGTCGACTCAAAAGTCACCTGGTGGCGGCACTCCCTCTGCGCAGGATAGAGGGCTGGTCATTATCACCGGGGCTGGAAGGGTGTGTCGTGTGTCATGGTAACGAGGTGACTTTTGAGTCGACTCAAAAGTCACCTCGCAGGATAGAGGGCTGGTCATTATCACCGGGGCTGGAAGGTCCGTTTCGACCGTCGCAAACCTTGCTTGCTCCTACCCCCATCTCGTACCCCCATCTGGTTGAAAGGCCTTCCAACTCCCAACGCTGCATTGCGTTCGTTTCCGATCACCTCCGGACTGCGAAAGCATGGCTCTTTTATATGCCCTGTTGCTTCAGTATGCATGCGGTCGTCTCGTTCCTTTTCTCTAATTCAGTATGCCCTTGTGACTGTCTGCCCATGTGACTGTATGTCTGTGTGACTGTCTGTGTGACTAAGTTCGCCGTTTTCATGTGTGTGACTATAAGCAGGGGGCGCTCGTTTGTGCGAGAGGCTGTCATGCAGCAGCTATCGGGCCTCAGGTGGGTAGAAACCCAGTTGCCCCTTCCAAGTTTCTGTGGGCATAACCCAAAATGTCCCATCTAAGGCACATTCCGGTAATAACCCAAATGTTGGTGGGTATAGAATTCAATACCAAGCCCGAGGTGTCAGTGTATGCCCTTTTCATGCCTTGGTCATACTGAAGGGCACACAGGTTCGGGCATGGACCTACTTGTTTATTCCGCTCATTTCCTTGTCAAGCCGCCCATGTCTGTCGGCAGCATGTGCGAGAGCATGGGTTGGATTCTCCTTAAAATATTTTGGATTCTAAAACTAACTGGATTGTGCCCATCAAACGGTCCTTAGATTGATGCGCGTCAGGGGGTGAAAGCACACATGTACATAGCAATGAGAATATAGCCCCGTATTTCCCCCTACCTCTTACCTTTCCCCTCAGATTGCCATTTGAGGCGCATCGCAGCACAATCACTCTGCTTCCAGAGACCCTTTCAGCCTTCCGAGCAAAGAACCACGTGTAGCATCTGCCATGTTTTTCACGTCTCATGCATCATATACCATGTACGAACACCATACACCATGCATCTCTTTGTAGCATCTGCCATGTTGATCACGTCTCATGCATCATATACCATGTACGGAGCACCCCACACCATGCATCTCATTTTGCGTTGCTCTCACTAGTCCTGTTACAACACCTTTTCTGTGTGCCCTTTACATCATTTAGGACCCAATGCGTCGCTTTCACTTTATAGCTGATTTGTTTCACTGCATTAGCTAGTCCCGTTCTCCTTATGAGCTCGTCCTTCCTTGTCAACTTCCTCACCTTGGTCCACCTTTTCCCTCTTTCTTTCCTATCTGTGACATTGTTCTTTTCAGGAGCGTCAGCATGTGAATGCATGGATGCGTCTAGCAATCGGTAGATATGGCTCTGTCGTAGCTGGCATTGGAGCCCTGTTTACAGTTCCATTGCTGATTCAGCACTATGCTCGAGCCAGTGGCTGATGCTTAGAACAGAAATGAGATATGAGATAATTTGTAACATTCTGAAGCATGTAACAGACTCCGCCTTGAGAACTTCGCTGTCCTCCCTGCCCGCCGGCATATCAGCATAAGAGCGTGTCTGAAGTGAACGTCGACATTCCTCGACGAAACTTCGAGGGATGTCGAGGAATCCTGACGGTTAGGGCGTGTCCAGAGCGTACATTTTGGGAATATAGTACCTTCACACGTTTCCCGGCTCAAAAAATCTCACTGTACCAAAAAACGAATATAAGGTGAGTCGAGTCCGAAGGATTGGGCCTTCCAGCGCGCGGACACAACCCTCTGCACACAAATTTCTACAGTTCGTGGAAAACGAGGTAACTGGTTGCCTCGTCTATCATCGCACAGAATTTCACGCACAAGCGAAAATTCCACGCTTGAACGAAAATTACTGTAGCGGGCAGGACGCAAAGCTGTACCCTTGTTCGCGCGCACACTGATTCCAGTAACGTGTGTTAGACGATTCGTCGTACGCGCAGCGGGCGTGCCGTCTTGTGAACGGAAGCTGATCGTGTCCAGCCTTTTTGTAAAATGCAGTGTTACAATAGAAAATGTGGTAACTGAATGGGTTTATGAACTGTAAATGTACGCGCTGGACACGCCCTTAAAACACTCGATCCGAGGGTTGACACTCACCGACATTCCTCGACGAAACTGTACATTCGTCGAGGTTTCACTTCAGACACGCCGTAAGGAATCTCGTCCTGAAAATCCGCCTTTCGCCTTCAATGTGACTTGATGATTGGGTGTAGTAGTTCGTCGCACTGGTACTGTGCGTAACATTTCCGAGCGAAACAGTTCGTCAACTGGCTTTGGCAGTTGCACAGCGCAGCAGCCGATGGCCGCTGGTTGGTCAAAACCAGCCAGCGACGCAGGGAGCAAGGCGGGGAGCCGGGGGCGACCGCAGGGGGAGTGGGGGGACGGCCGGTGACATCCAGCAGATGGGGTGGGGAGAGAGAAACGAGGGTGGAGTGAACTAGTAGGACGTGGGGGCAGTGAGCGAGCGAACCCTACCTGACCCGCCCTCAGAATGGGGTGAAACGAAGCTGCGAGTGCAGCACCAATCACTTTCCCGTAACCTCTTGCTTCCTACTTGACCGTCGTGCTGCTCTGCTTCCTTCCGTTCCGTCCGTCTGCCCTCCTCCCCCACCCTCCCTCCTCCTTCCGTTCCGTCCTCCTACGGTGTACTTTGCAGTGCGGTGCGTCCATCTGTCTGCCTGCTTCTTCCTCGTCTTGGGATTCTTCCTATTCAAGTCCACCGCAGCAAGTTGCACACGCGCTCAGCACTCCAGCCTGGCAACGGGCGTGTAACTTTTTCCGTTTCTGTCAAATGTCCGGACGGAGCCCCCAAAACGTACGAACGGAGCTCCGTCCGGACGTTAGGGGATGTGGTTCGGACGATAGGGCGTCCGTACCACAGTTGTGACACTTTTTTGCAGTTTCGAAATGTGCGAGAAGGTAACGCACATAACCTGCCTCGCCAAAACATCGCCCGCTTCGCGACCAAGCTACGGCAGCTTGGAAATAGAGTCGCCAAAATTTATGAAAACCTTGCTTCGCGCGCCAATGACGTTGCAGGAGTTCCGGACGGTCCGAAATGTTGTCCGGACGGTTTCAGCGGCGTAGAACGGACGATGCTTTGACAAAAAAGTGTCAGTCATCGTACGGACGATGGCGACGTCGCAAGGGGTCTAGCGAATCCGCTCACGATGTATGGGCGAAATTTGTAACCCCACAAAAGTCCGGACGGGGCCTCCGTCCGGACGATGAAGAGTGAAAAAGTTACACGCCCTAAAGCCTCTCCCAATTTGCGCCATGGCCTGCGTCAGAATCGCAACGTGACTCAGTTGAAGGAAGGGACGTAGCGTTCGTCAAGCATGGACGTGCTGACTCTGCATTGCTGATTTTTACAGTTACACTACAGTAAAGCAGTAAGAAGCACCTTTCTTGAACGGAGCCTAAGGCTTATTAGCCGAGTGGCTCAATGGATAAAGAAGAGAGGTTCCCTTCAACGTCAATACTTCATCCAAACACCACAGGACTTGCCTGCACAACGCATTGGGAATATCTAATATACCGTAGCTCCGCAACTCCCGCAAGCTACTCTGGCGCTGAACTAAATACGCCCGCAATACAAACATTTATTCCATTCGCGGCCTCACAGGATTCTCAGCTCCATCCCAATACTATGGTTTTCCCAGCTCTTTCGGAGAAGCCGTTTCCAATTTGAATGCAATGGTTCCTCGGTTCTCAACCTCCGAGGCACAAGTTATTGCCGCGTCGCGCACAGCTTTCCCCGACTACGAAAACCTTCGGAATGCTCGTCCCGCCGTGAATCGCGGTTGTACAGGAAGCACAACTATAAGAGTCGAAGACGTGGAACTGGTATCGCTGGAAGGAAAGCTCCATCTTCTAGACCTCCAACGCCAGCTGAGCGCCGTTAAATGCCAGAGCTTCATCGAACGGTTGCGATCCGCCACGCAACGGACACCCGAATCGGACGACGAATCAGACGTCGCCACACTGGCATTCCACTCTGAAGCTCGAACAGCTTCTGCTGACTCGATACTGGAGCCGAGAATGTCTGCGCATGGCGCTCACACTCAACAATATCAGGAGAATAAATGTTCATCACACATGGTTTCAAATGATATTTGTCACCACGCGATCGGGAGGCACGGCGGCGGCTGCTGTCAGGAAACCAGACCTCGCGCTCTCAGGCGCCATGCGTCGCTCGACGTCGCGGCGCCGCTCGCGACCAGCCATTCCTGGGCGAACGACTTGAACTTCTACGCCAAACCCGGCGCCGCGCGTAGATCTAGCTCTCACTCTCCCTGCCACCCGCGCAGCATCTCGCACTCGCGGGCGTCAACGTACCCCCCCGCGCATTCCAGTCCGCGGCGCACCAGCTCCGCGCGGTCCAGCCCCAGACCCCCCCGACGAATCAGGACCGCGGAGCGTGCTTCCGCCTCCAACACGCGCGCCGACGATGCGGGGCAATACTGCTCCTTATTTCGTCGGGAAGTGCTTCACTCCTTACTCCTCACTCCTGACTCTTGAACTAGAATTTATTTGCTAGCTTTTTTTTTTTAGCGGGAGTGCAGTGGACCACGCATATTCCCTCAGCGAAGTTTTTCCAGTCTCCTCCGCCATTGCACTAAGCCCCTGTTTCTAAGCTATGGCTTCAGAGGAAACTGTTCGTGCATACTTTTTTCTCTTCCTCCTTATCTGCTCAAGTACGGTTTAGGGCGTGGAACATTGTATCGACCAAACGAAATGGTCGACCATATGGGCGGTTCTTACGATTGCTAAGCTGTAGGGTTACGCCCACAAACCCTAATTACTTCGTAGTCACCCCTAGAAAACGGATGGTACAATTGATGCCCAACCAG